TCAACAAAATGGTACTGAAATGCTGGCACTGTGCTTCCGATTCGATCATGAAGTGCTGGCATTTTTCGGTTCGACACTATGAAGACATCGGCGATGCTGTGAAAATTGCGGCAATAGAAAGCTCTTCCATTTCTTGTCTGCAGATGCATTTCCCACGTATGCATACTTCCTTGCAAGGCAGCCGCAGCTGTCAACTTCTTTCAAAACAACATCACTCATCTGCAGTTTGGTCACAGGCATACCTCACTTTGCATCACCTTCGTTTTCGATGCATTAATTTTCAGGTTCGCTTCCTTTTTGCGATAAGTTCGTGCTTTATGAGGGCTGTTCGTAATAAGAAATGTTCTGCCTGTGAAGCGCAAATAATTTAGCTGCTTGTCATTGATCGCTGGACTATCCTTCCCATCCAGATTAAAGAAGGTTGTAAAAACCTTAGGCAATATGAGCCCACTTGCATCGTACTCCTTTTGATCGGTTTGGATTGGAGCAGAAAAAAATTGATGTCCGAACAGGCATGTTCAATTCTTTAACAATTTTTACACAGTTCTCATCAATTCCTTCTTCTGTAAGAGCTCATAACGTAGCATTCTCCTCAGCGATGTTGAATGCTTTTCTGTGATCGACAGAGATGAGGCAGCGAAGGAAGAGCTGATACTTTACTGCACGCTCCACTAGCCGGTTTAACGTGAAAATCCAATCCACTGTATTGTAATCCAACTTGCTCTGTGCCATACTTTGCTTAGTTACTCAATTATTAACAATTTTCGTGAATTGTGATGGAACAGGCAAATCAAGTGGGACGGTTTTCAAGTTCTGGTTATCGAATTCGTCAATCTTATCTAAAAATATCATCGGCATTAAAAATATCATGGTTTATACAGAAACTTACCAAAAAATTATGTCTTTTGAGCATGTAGCACCGGCGACATAACTGTTCCGCATAATCGTCCAAATTGAGGAAAACTTCGGCAGGCAGAAATCCGGGTAACGAGGCATCCTGCAATACACTACGCTTATTCTCGGGGTCATTCTTCGTTATTGCCTTCTTGCGAAAAAATGTTTATGTTCCTTTTTCCCCTTTACTGAACAGTTAGCAAGTAACGATGCTCACCCGGCAGTGGAAATTGGCGCCGCATGCGGTGCAACGTATTTTCGATGTAGGTATTGTGGGGTCCACAGTGCCATAATTATCCAGCAAGTCGTCAAGCCCGCTATCAAAATATTCAGCCTGCAAAATCGGTTCACTGCTGAAGCATTTTTTTAGCAGAATTAAAGTTTACCTTAACAAATTCCTAATTTCAGGCCTGATAAACTTCAAATCTGTAATGATTCTCTGAGCAATCTCAGTGAACATAAACCGAGAAAACACAAAAGCTGAAAATGATTCGCCCCGCTGACACATTTTACCTTTGGGTGATGGGCGATTTGCCCGGGGAGTTGAAATTCGATCTCCTCCACAGCGTCTTCGTCACCATATCGCACAAACAAGTCATCGTCAACGCTAAAATTCAACCTAATTGAAGCATTTGCGAGTAATGCTTGAACTATTCAATGCCGATATTTAAGCCAACATTCGGTTAAAAAAAAGCACCCGAGACGTCTACATACTCCTACAGGTATTCTAAAACTTTTTTGAAGATGAAGCACTTACTTCTCCAATTCACCACCAGGTATGTCAACTGTTGAACCAACAATATAATCATCAACAAACTCATCGCCAAAAACATAAAATCCACGGTCGGTACCAGCAGATTTCGATTTATCCACCACTTCTCCCGTAACTTTTTTCGGGGCATTCTTTTCACTTTTTAGCAGGTAACGACCGGCCAGCGGGAACTCCTACAAATCAAAAATAAAAACATTCAAGACGAAATAAAGTCAAAATTCGAAATTTCGCTAATCACTCCCCATGAAGGGGAAGTAGCTGAATTAGTAGAGTGCTAGCACGCTCTAATAACTAGCATCCGCTGGAAGGGCCCCTTCCAGAGTTTCGACGCACTGATAAGCGCCAGTACCAAATTACGATCGAAGCGAATCAGCGCAAATTGAGGAACTGTTTATCCCACTGAGGGAGTCGAACTCCCCATTCTTATGGCAGTACAGTGGCGTTACATAAAATAATAAATGGCAACGCGCACCAGACTAGCCGGTGCGATCATGCGTTTTGTGCAATTCAG